TTTCAAGCTGGCTAAAAATAAGTAAGGACAACTAAAGCTTCTTAAACCTCTTAACAGATAAAGTACAGCAGCAAAGCTATGCACAGAGATGTATTCAGAACTGTAAGTGACATTCATTATGCTGTAATTGTAATGTTTATTGCAGTGTTCTTACAGCAATGTTGGTCCCAAGACCTGAAGAAGACCTCTGTGTAGCTCAAAAGTTTGTCTCGTTCACTAGCAGAAGTTGGTCCAATAAAAGATATTACCTCACCCACTTTGTCTCTCATGTTTATTGTTATTCATTCATAACAAAGAGCCAGATCTAGAGTCTTTTGAAATCAGTGGGAGTTGGATCAGACCCTGAGTGGTTTTTCAAATATCATAATGATATTTAATAATGTTATTAATGCAGTAAGTTGTAGGGTCAGAAGTTTTAAAGCAGCAGGATTCCATCAGAGTCTATCTAATACTATAAAAAGTTTCATGCGTGTTAACTGAGAAATATTTATTCCTTTTCTTTGGTAAGTAAGATAAGGCTATGAAGACATCGTGTGAAGTGCAGCATGAGAAAATCCAAGATAACTGGCTAAACCTTTGGATGCAATTGCCATCTCATTGGTCAATGCAGGATTCTCTTGGAAACTAAAAATAGACATCTCCAGAAATGCTTCTGGAAGCTGCAAGCAGGAGGAATAGCATAAATGCCAACATGGGAACACATCGTAAGAAGAAAAAGAGATTATTGGGAAGAACAGAACTGGAACCCTCTCAAATGGAAATCCATTTAATATTAGGATGTAGATATGGGGACAGATTTTTGAAAGCTTTTGATTCACAAAATGTGTGCCTAACTTTTAAATACAATTGCACTTACAGTTTGTGCATTTGCATATGAAAATAGCCAATTCTTGTCATGTGCATACAAGAACCCAATGCAATCACAGTAATTACATATGCAAAATAGAGGTCCAGTTGTGCAATCTTTACAATGATGAACACTCCTGTGACATGTCTCATTGACTTTAATGGGGCTGCTCACAAGGCTGCAAAATCTGGCCTTAGGCATGCAGTCATGCATATATTGGCCTACTGTAGATATAGATCACATTACAGATTTCACAGTTTGAGTACGGCTTTTAAGGGGTTCCTGCTCTGACTTATGCCTGGTTTTTCCCTCCCCCGAAACTGAGAAAACAGGTAACTAAATTCAGCCTTTCCTCTGTGTAGAGCGAGATTTTGGGGAAAGAGGTTACTTACTGTGGAAGCTCAGGGAGTTTCAAATATTTAGTCGTTTAGTCTTTTAAAAGAAACCTTGAACAGAAATGTAGTGTACATATATAACTAAGGCCCTGATTCTTGAGCCAGGACTCATAAGTACTCTGCAGCAAAGCCCTCTCATTTCTGCAGCATTCTGGTGCGGGAGTGTGATGGGGCATCTGCCCAACACTGGCTTGTAAGGGGTTAATGGAGCCCTAGAAAGGCTGTGCAGAAAGTAGCCAATAGGAGAGGGGCTGCAAGGAGCAGCCAATGAGGGCCAGGCAGGCCCACATAAGAAGAGCTGCAGGGCCAAGCAGGTTTAGTAGCAGAGCTCCCTAGAGTTTGAGGATAGAAGCCTGGCTGCCTTGCAGGTGGAAGAAAGCTAGCATCCTGGACAGAGAAGTGTTGGGTAGGATTAGGGGAGAGAGAGCAAGCTCCTGGTTGGCTGTTAAGACTGGCATGCTGAGGCCCTGAAATAAGGATGAAGAAGGTGCTAGGACTGTAGGGAAGTGGCCCAGGGAAATAGACTGAGCGGTTGAAGGAGATGCAACTGGCTGTTATCTCCAGGATCCCTGGGCCAGTACCCAGAGTAGTGGGTGGGCCTGGGTCCCCTCCCGGTCCTTGCCACTGAGGAAGTGGCTGGACTATTGGGCTGCAGTACATTCCCCTGGAAGGGCAGAGTACAGAGTGCAGCACAGCTGGAGACCTGTGTCATGAAAATGATGCCATGGTCCTGGGGGTGATGTGGGTCCTGGAGCAGAAGTGACAGTGGTGAGACACCACCAGAAGAGGGTGCACTGACTAACAGAGCTAATCGTTGGTACAGTCAGCAGGAGGTTCTGTAGTGGTGAGTCACACCCGATCACAGGGTGATTAGAAATTTTGTAGTGGAGTCCAGTAATTTTTTGAAAATATCATAGAATCATAGAATATCAGGATTGGAAGGGACCTCAGGAGGTCATCTAGTCCAACCCCCTGCTCAAAGCAGGACCAATCCCCAACTAAATCATCCCAGCCAGGGCTTTGTCAAGCCTGACCTTAAAAACCTCTAAGGAAGGAGATTCCACCATCTCCCTAGGTAACCCATTCCAGTGCTTCACCACCCTCCTAGTGAAAAAGTTTTTCTTAATATCCAACCTAAACCTCCCCCACAGCAACTTGAGACCATTACTCCTTGTTTGTTCATCTGGTAGCACTGAGACCAGTCTAGATCCATCCTCTTTGGAACCCCTTTTCAGATAGTTGAAATCATCATATTGAATTAAATATGAAGGTGAATATTATAATCAGTACTTATTTTAAAGTTAAACTCAATTTTATACAGCCCCAAAACATTCAGTGTAGCACAGAACTGTATGCTGCAAGTGCACCAACTCCATAGCATTTGTTTGTTAACTAGGTATAGAAATGCAAAATTTATTGTGCATTCTACAAGAATAAGAGAAGTCGAGTATTTACATGACTGTTCTTTGGTGAGTAGTTCAGGTAGAAACTAAAACTGGTGGAAAGGTTTCTTTGCCTTTCTTGTCCTTCAAGGGTTAGATTTTGATACACACTAGTAAATCTCCTTACCCCACTACAAGTAGCCTTATTGAGTAAGGTGCTGCTAAACTGGAGAAAAGATATTAGAATCTGGATCTTATAATATTTGTGTTTGGAATGGGTTTCTGAGACCAGTTTCAAGAAACTGCTGTTCTGAAAAGTCATTTGTCCATATGATATGGCACTAGTTAGTATGGTGAGACATTCAGTATCATCTAGAAATTCCCAGAGACTGGATTATTAGGGGTGAAGCAGAACATGTCAAAAACGAGAAACAAATTCTTGTACCGTGTTTCCCCGAAAATAAGACAGTGTCTTATATTAATTTTTGCTCCCAAAGATGCGCTAGGTCTTATTTTCAGGGGAGGTCTTATTTTTCCTGGAGCTTCGGGGCCTTATATTCCGGGGTGGCCTTATTATCGGGGAGGTCTTATTTTCGGGGGATGTCTTATATTACAGCGAGAGGCAAAACTGGAAGTAGGTCTTATTTTCGGGGGATGTCTTATTTTCGGGGAAACAGGGTAGTAGAGATGAATGCTACATTTTAGCGGAAATGTTGCAGACACCTTAACTGCCACTTTAGGATATTTTTCAAGCTACACAGTGAGGCAGGTTTCTGAGGCTCAATAGTGACATCTTGTGGCCACTTAGAACCAAACCCCCCATTTCCTCTTCTAACCGCTTACATTCTTTGTCTGGTACAGTATCTAAAGATAAAGCTCAACTGTATGCATAGTGTCTCACTTATCCATCTCAGTTTTGTCCTGTCCTGCTTCACCCCTAATAATCCAGTCTCTGGGTATTTCTAGAGGATACTGAATGTCTCACAATATTAACTAGTGCCTTATCATATGGACAAATATACACGAAGGACCAGAAAGGGACGACCACTAAATTTATTTTCCTGTGATTAAACAAGATTGAATTCACTTCTCTATAAATTGAAGACTAGTATTTTAGCTCACTCCACTGCTTACCTTCTCATTTGCTGTTTTTAGACTAAACAGGAGTGAACCATTTGTTGTTTTCTATATCCTATAAATCAGAGATGGAAGAGACAGTTTCAGTCTTCTAGTTTTATCTCCCTGCCAGTGTATGATTTTTTTCTGATTGTACCCATCCTATTGTACACAGAGTGTACCAGGGAAGGTGGGGAGTGGATGTTAGAAGGGTGGCAAACCCTCTTCTCTTACAAAAAGTGCACTGGATAGGATTCCACAGACTGACCAAAGCTTTCCCTTCTGTACCTTCCTGTGTGTTGTGTGCCACCTGACTACCATCCTCTCCCCAGAGGTGGCTGCATTGCAGGGCTGCTGTAAATATTTAGGTTATGAACTAGCAAGTGCTCCATATGCGGAATTCTCATTGATTTTATCCGGTCTGTGTTCAATTGCAATGCGAGGACCAGGTTGATGGTTAGTACAGTAAAGCATTTGGGGCTCCTTCCAGCTCAGAGGTGCTATATAAATAATTCATAGTATGTATGACCTGTGCAGAATTCAAATGAGCCAGATTTCAAATCAGTGAGATGTGAAACTTAAGTCTCAATGACACACACACCCCAAAACCCTTCGTCACCAGACAAAGACCTAAACTGCCTCAAACCCACAAAACCTCACTCTCCAGAGTCTCTCGGTCTGACTGACCATGGGACACGGCCAGCTGCTCAGTACTTGGCATCCAGGCAGTGGTTAATTTGTAATGAAAGAGGTGCCGGGGCTCAAGCAATTTTTTTACGTTCATAACTGATGCAGCAAGCCCAGAGGTGCTGGGGCTATGAACTGCCGGGGCTATGAACTGCCAGGCCTAGAGGTGCCGGAGTGCAGCCCTGGCATAAATTAAGCACTGCATCCAGGATGCAACAAGCAGAACTCTCGCAGCTCCCCCCGATGCTTTTCGTAAGAGGCGCCAGGGTTTGTCCCAAATCCGGATTCTGCTGCACGTCCACACGGGGCGGCTGGGAGCTCTGCCCCAGAAAAAGGAGCAGGAGGGGCAGAGCAATGCAGAAGCGGAGTGAGGGGCAGGGCCTAGGGAGTGGCTCTCCACCAGCCCTTATGCGTTGCTATGGGAACAACCAGCGCGAGGACGTGTCTGGAGCAGCGGGCGCCGCCGTTCCCCCAGGCGCCGGCCCACGCTCTCCGCCAAGTCTGCCCCAGCCCACGGCTCCGAGGCAGCGAACGCGCGCTTGGCACGGACCTCGTCCGACCCCGTAGGGGGCGGCTCCTTCGGCTGCTGCCTCGGGTCTCTTAGCAACCGTAGCCGGGGCAGGAGCCGCTGGGCCGAAGGTCGGTAGGGGCCGAGGGCAGGGTGTGGGGTAGTGCGTGGCCCGCTCTACCCCCGGGCTCCGACCCGCGGGGGGGGCTCACCCACCGGGACTGAGGGTCTGCGGGCTTCCGTGCGGGGAGAGGGGCTCGCTGGGCGCAGGGCCGGGGTAGCCTGGGGAGAGGGCTGGCTACGGGGCCAGGCAGCGATCCCCTGCCCTTCCCCGGGGGCAGCGCTGCACGAGTGCCCGGGGGCAGCAGGGGCAGATTCTGCTCCCCTTCCCGTTCAGCGCCGCAGGAGAGCGGGGTGGGGTGAGTCCGTGGGTCGGTCTCGCGTGGCAGATCCTGCAGCGCTCCCCACCAGCGCAGCCCTCCCTATTGTGAGGCTGGATGAGTGAGAGCAAGCCTGGTTTTGGTACCATGTCATGCTGATTGGGGGGGGGGGGTCCAATCCCACGTGTCTTGCACACACACAGATTCCTACCGACTGCAAAGGGAGCGCTAGGAGCTGCAGGATCGGGCCCCTTGTTTTGCTTCTCTTCCAACGACACCCCGGCGTTAAAGAACGAAATGGTTTAAACTAAGAACCAGCTCTTTTCTGCACGGATCCCGCTGTGGTATCTCACATGAACGAAGTATTGGCCAGTTAAAATCCATTTTCAGGGAATAAACCTCTCATTTCTCTCTGGTGGTTTGACACCTCAGCCAGGACAAGCCCTTCAGGTGTTTTGGATTGGACCCTAGCACAAGTGCTTGTATATATTTTTATTTTATGAGCTCATTAATGGCCTGACATAGTTTGATTAGGAAATTATAAGCTTCTCTTGAGCACTTAATTTAAACATAAGAGCATAGTACTGTACAAGTGAGAAAGACGTTGAAGTTTAGTTGGGCCGGATCAGAGTAAAAGGGTCCCAGCCTTCATTCAAGTGAACAGTGCTTTATTGCCTTTGGCTTCAGTGGGCCAATGTGAGTGGCTACGGGTTGCAGGATTGAGCACTTTCTGCAGCCCTGCATCTCCCACAGTTCTGCTAGTCTGGGTGCTCCCCTCCATACTGAAGGCAATGCAAAGCTGTGACACAGTGTTTGCTGGCCACTCCTCCTTCTCCCACTTACCCAGAGGCACAGATGTCAAGGGGCAGTTTGTTTTCTCGTAATCTTTTTTTGTCTTTATTATTTTTTTAACCATTTTCAGGCAATAGCGAGCTTTTTTCTTTGTTCCAAACCTTCTGCGTGGTTTAGGATTTGTGCAGCATCAAGGCCACAGCTGTGGGGAGCCCCTGCAGCAGTGCTTCCCTGCTGAGCTCCTCTGCCCCCTTTTAGGCATGGCACAGCAGCTGTGCAAGTACAGGCAAAGCACAAAAGGTGCTCAATATGTGAGGGAGCTTTCCCAGGCTTGGCAGAGGGTATATTATGTCCAGCTTGCTCCCAATCAGCCGACCCTAGCGCTGCTAGGACACAGGACTCTGAGTTGGACAGGCATGTTGGGGCCCCTACTCCCCCCAAATAGCCATGAGTCCACTGCAAAAGTCACAGAGCAGAACAGGGAGAGGCTCTAAGGAGGAGGAGGACTTTATCCAGATGGCGCAGAGGAGGAGGTAAGTCTTGGGGGTCACACAGGACCACACAGTTAAGACCCTTGCAGGGCTACTGGTCCTCTTCCACAAGTCTTGAAATGGGTCTTAAGCGCCTTAGGAAGATAAGCAGGGCTTATAACCAGCCCCTTCCCTCCCAATTAGAGCCAGGGAACTCTGATAATGAGACCCCATCCCCTGCTTGGGGGAGTGAGACACTGAAAGGAAGGACTCAGGGGGAGAAGTTTCTAGAGAGCTCCGGGCTGTGCACAAGGCAAGCTGCAAAAGATCGTGCCCTGATTACAGCCAAGCAGTAATCCTCTTAAAGTAGACCAAAAAGCCCAAAAGAACTAAAAAGGGAAAGAAAAGATACAAAAAATCCAGAAGGTACTGTCCTTTGACTTGGACTCCTCTACCAAGGAAGGAGAGATTTTCAGGCTTTGAATCTGAGTAGGACTTGTAAAAAATGGAACAACTTTTTTCCCCCCTGTGAAGTTTGAGGCCATGTGCAAAAAGGTTGTGGTCACAATCCAGATCCATCCTGAGCAGATTCCTGAGGATAAGCCTCAAAGCAAATACCTTTCCTCAAAATCTTAACCCAAGGCAGCAATTATCCTGTATTTCTCTTTTGAGGATGCGATCAGGGAGGAATAGGAAAAACCTGATGCAGATACCATATTAACAAGCTTACCTTAGGGTCTGCAAGCTGCAAGAATCAAAGAATGCTCTTACTGAAGTCTCAGAAGGAATCAAGGCACACTCCACAAGATCTATAGCAGCGATTCTCAACCCCCGGGCTGCGTGCAGCCCAATTAGCAGATAGCTGTGGCCCAGCTCAGCTCTGGGCTAAAGGGCTGGCCCGCGTGGGGTGCGGGTTCCCGGCTGCCCAGTGCAGTGGGGTCTGGGCTACCCAGCTGCCTGGCCCCACAGGGTCAGGGGTCTGGGGCTGCCAGGTGGACCCACGGTCTGGGGCAGCTGCCCGGCCCTGAAAGCTTTGGGGCAGCTGCCCGGCCCCACAGTGTTGGGAGTCTGGGGCAGCCCCACAAGCTCCGGAGTCTGGGACTGTCGCCCAGCTCCAGGACAGCTGGCCAGCCCCATGTGACGGGGTTCCGGGGTGGGCAGCCAGCTGGCCCCACACAGGGTCCTAGGTCAGTGTCCGGGCTGCCGCTGCCCTGCCATCCAGCCCCTGCGGCCCAGATAACACATTGTGGGCTGCATATGTGGCCCACAATGATAAAGAAGTTGAGAACCACTGATCTATAGCAACTTCATGGACAAAACGAGCAAGTGCTTTCACTGCCGAGATATGCAGAGCAGACACATTGGCATCAGCTAACACTTGTATCAGACTTTCTGTCTTCCTCATAAGCCTTCTTTGGCAGAAAGGTGTTACAGGCAGTGGCCCAGTAATAGTATTGCTTTCTGAGCAACCTCTGTGGGTGTGGGGGATTTCTCTTCTATCTCCTATGTATGAGTAATCTGTCAAATTTTAGAAAGGTAATATAACAGAAGGTGCTGGTATGTAATTGCATGTTCAGCTAACAAGAATGTAATGTAAGTATAATAAAACACTGTCTTTTCTGTAAGGGAGAAGCACTGGAAATTTAATCTTGAAGCAAAGATGCAAGCGTTAATGCCTGAGCCTCAGATTTATGTAGAAAGAACTCTGGCCCTCATCAAACCAGATGTAATTGACAAAGAAGAAGAAATAGAAGATATAATTCTCAGATCAGGATTCACCATTGTTCAGGTAATATGCCGTACATAAAACAAGGTTCTGCACACTGTTGGTTTTGATTTGAAGTTTGTTTATGGTCTGATAAGCAAGATGCAAACACCACCAATTTGGTTGACTTAATGTACTGTTTCTACACACATGCACAACATACATCATTTGAAAGCTTATGTCTACTTTACGATGAGGTATGATGTGGCGCTGTCACCTGGTACCATTACCATAGAAATGGGGATAAACACTAACACTAACATCATCATGTTAAAAAGGCCACTATGAAATATTTGCATTCATTTCTGTTAGTCTAATGAATCTATGTATTATTTCAAGACATAAAATTGGATTTCTCTGTTACCTTAAAGCATCATGACAACAATCCAAAGGGTACAACAAAATCTAATACATTTGTACAGGTATGACTGAAATGTAACAGCACTGGGGACATTTCTAGTCAACATCATTATCATCCATCTTGTTCATCATTGTGATCTCTGTCAAGAGGGCGCGGATTATCACAGTCTTCGTTACATAAACAAGTACACCGTTCTGTGCTGGGAAGATTGTCCTGAGTACAGACGTCAATGATTGTGCAGCGATCCCTTCTTTTACAGGCACAGATAAGATCTTGTATAAGCTCAGATGCCATTGGGCCCTTGAAGAAGCAGTTCATCATCCACCTATTTCCATCCATATTGCAATGGTGATCCAATATCTTGTTTACCTATGTGTGAAGACATCCAAATCTGTGTTTGCCAAGATGCTCTTTTGACATGTTCTTCAAACTGTCCTCACCTGGTGGGAGTTGGCCAGTTACTTGTCCTTTTTGATGGCTAGATTGAGGTACAAACAACTAATGTCTCTGGGGGTCTCCTTTCCTTTCTTGCTCTGGTCATACAGCACTGCTACCAACTTCCTTGCTGCCCATCACTTTCTCCCAGTTTGACAAGATCTCTGAAGCAGTAAGATCCCTTTGTTTTGACAGTATTAAATACAGATTTTGTTCCCAATACCAAATAGGGATGACCGAGTCACATCCTGCTAATGTGTGTTCAGCAAGAAATATGTTGCAGAAATCAGGAGTGAGTGAGTCACAAATTGCATGCACAGGGTATGAAGCAGTGCTTGTCAGTGTGCTGGTAATAGTGCCTGTTTCAATCTACATGTTATCTTTGTGTTCCAGCAAGATCCAAAATATCTGTATCAGGTGACCTAATTACTATGGCTTCTTTGACACCAAGAGATCCAAAAGCCATGTTGGCACATACATCATGCAGAAGCATCCTTGTATCCACTTTCTCTTCAGTACTGTACAAATCTTGAGCTTCTTCACCACGTCTGCTAGTGATGGACTTTGCTACTTCGCCATTGGAAAAGGCTCCAGCGAGGAGTGTTTGTGTTGGAGGTGCTCCTACCCTCTCAGTGCATTTTGAACAATATGTTCACAGAGGAGTTTTACAAGTGACTGCTTGTATGCCACATTTTGAAACTTTTTCCATGGAAGCACAGAGCATCCACCAATCACCTGGTATTTCTTGCATCCAGTCTTAGATCCTGTCCTGGCTCTCTCTTCATGAAGTTTTCACAGAGTTACAGTTGTCATATCTGTCAAAGACTTCAGTTACAGAATCAGCTTTGTCAAATCCTTTTAGGACCTGCCTCAGGTATTCAGCAGCCAATTCACTGAATGTGTGGAATTTGTCTCCAGCCATAATTTGTATGAAAACCATGTCATCTCTGATGTACACTGATTTCTTTGTTGCATGCTCTTAGCTCATGGATTTCTTCAGCTTGAGTTTCCAGATGATGCCCTAATTAAGTTTTGTCTGCTCAGAGTTCCATGAGCATACAAGAAGGACATAGACTTAGGTCCTACTGGGTGACTAAGGCTAGGTCTACACTACTGGGGGGGTCGACCTAAGATACGCAACTTCAGCTACGTGACTAGCGTAGCTGAAGTTGCGTATTTTAGGTCGACTTACCTGGCTGTGAGGACGGCGGCGAGTCGACTGCTGCCGCGCCGCCGTCGACTCCGCTTCCGCCTTTTGGCGCGGTGGATTTCCGGAGTCGACGGCAGAGCGATCAGGGATCGATTTTATCGCGTCTTCACTAGACGCGATAAGTCGATCCCCAATAGATCGATTGCTACCCGCCGATCCGGCGGGTAGTGAAGACGTGCCCTAAGAACGCTTGCCATTGAAACATCATCTCTGCATCTTGCTAAGGACAGGGCTGTGCAGAAAACAATTTCTGGACTGATAACTGCTGTGATTCTCTGTCCCTTGTTAGAGTTATATTTGGTCTAGGCCATTTCAGCATCAGCGTCGCCTTCTGCTCCCGCCGGTGGGTGCTCGACCCCCGGCTCCAGCCCCGCTCTGACTCCATCCCTGCCCAACTCCCTCCCGCCTCTGCCCTGCCCCCATTCCAACCCCTTCCCCAAAGTCCCCGCTCCAACTCTGCCCCCTCCCTGCCCCTATTCCGACTCCTTCCCCAAATCCCCGCCCCGGCCCTGCCTCTTCCTCACCTCCTCCCCTGAGCGCTCCACGTTCCTGCTCCTCCCCCTCCTTCCAAGCACGCTGCCAAACAGCTGTTTGGCGGCGGCAAGGCAGGAAGCACTGGGAGTTAGGCGGAAGAGCGGGGATGCAGTGCGCTCTGGAGGAGGCGTAGGAGGAGCTGGGGCGCGGGGGGAGGAAGCTTGGCTGCCAGTGGGTGCAGAGCACCCACTAATTTTTCCCTGTGGGTGCTCCAGCCCCAGAGCACCTATGGAGTCGGCACCTATGCATTTCAGCTAATGTTTTGACGCCAGGTTTCTTGACTAGGCTGAAGAGGCTATGTGTCTCATCAGAATCAAGTACACCTCTCACAAATCTCTCAATTTGTTCTTCACCAACAGCTGCTATTTTCAGTAGAGAATCTTGTACATCTGTTACATGCAATCTAGTAGATATATTGATAAGCATCTCTGAATGTGATTCAGGGTCAAATGAGTTTTTGTCATATTGTTGATGACATGGTTGGTGAGATCTCTCACATGTTCCTTGTCACTCTACAGTACAGAAGCAAGGACTTGTTTGTGGATTTTGTCTTCACTACTTCTTGTTAGGCGACTTCTTTCTCTCTTAGCTTTTGCATATTCATAATAAGAAGTTGTGTATTGTCATCTCTAACACCAGGGGTGAAAGTAAGGTGGTACCAGTAAAAGGTAGCCGCCAGTACCGGCCCGTACCGCTGACTTTAACGTCACTTTAACGTCGCTGCCCCTTTTGTCCCCCCCCATCGGCGGCCCTGATGGCGCAAAAGGGGCAGTGATGACCCAGCAGGGCTGCTGATGAGGGGTGGAAAAGGGGCAGCGACATTAAAATGGCCGCCGATTGCGGGGGGGATGGCAAAAGAAATAGCTGTCCTTGGGCCGCAATTTAAAAGGGCATGGGGCTCCGGCTGCCGCTACCGCCCTGGGCCCCTTAAATAGCTGCTGGAGCCCCAGGCAGCGTGGGCCAGGGAGTGCAGATGGACTGGCTGGGTGATGCTGACCCCCCCAGCCCCGCCCCTTCTGCCCGAGGTCCTGCCCCTTCCGGGGGGGCCAGAGCGGCCCCGTACTGGTAAGAGCTCCATTTTACTTTCACCCCTGTTTAACACTAATACTAACCTGTGTATAAGTGTCACTGAATTCAAAAGCTAGTTTCTAGAATATTTCAAAGGCTAGTACTGCATGTATAGGCAATTATAAATTAAAACCTTCTATGAGGCAGACTAGATGCTACATTATATGTACAAAAGCTTACAAATGAAGACGCATTCCTTTAGGCATTCTCACATATTTATATCTACCCACTATGCAGTACAAATTATGGGCACGCAATCTACTGTTACTGGTGAACAACCTTCAGTGTTAGACTGATCTGGTCAGCCAATTTCAACTGAAAAAATAGAAAACTATTATAATCACTTGCGACACTTTGACAATTAAGAATATGCCATGTGAAAACATTTCATGTTAGTATATTGCAAAATGTTGCTATTCCCTGTCTTTGCCAAATGTAACTGATACACACCACATTAAGGTGTTGAAATTAATTTAAACAGTAAAAACTGTAGTCATAGTCATGTTGTAGTATTTCTAGAACTGTGCAAAAAATGATACTTGCTCATTTTGGGTACTATAGTTTCAGGCTTATGACACCACTTGACAGCTCAACATCATGCTTCATCTAAACATACATAAAATAAGCTTTCAAATGAGGGTACATTAAACTCCAAAAATATGGCCCTTTTTGGAGAATTGCCTCACGCCTAAGAAAAGTGATTTAAAAAATAGCATCTTGCTGTTCCATATTTATTGTCTCAGTGGGTTCTATAGGCAATAGCATCCCGAGGTTCCATATTTTTTATACCTGGGAGTTCCATATAAAATGGCTTAGTTTACAAGTGGAGATGTTGGAACAATTTTGATGGTGATCATGGAAACTATAGAAACCATGTATGTGGTGTTTGTTATTACTACTTCAAGCCCAGGGGTGCGGCAGTACCCCCCAGCACTCATAGTTCCAGCACCACTGTTTACAAGTCAGAACAAGGCTCTTCTAACTGCCAGCACTGTAAATAAAACATAGTCTCTGAAAATCAATTAGTACTCTATATATCAGCAACCACCATCAGCAGAAGGAAAGATTCTGTTAGTACAAATGAGCTGGTAATTATGCTCAGGGCCGCCGAGAGTGGGTTCGGGCCCCGGTGAAATAATTTTTTTGGGCCTCCCAGCAAGGGCGGACTGGCGAAACAGGGCCGACGAGGGTGGGGGCGAAGCTAGGGAAGCCGGGCCCGGGCCCCCTTCCAGACCGCCGGGCCCCGGTAATTTGTACCGGCTTTCCCCCTCTCCAGGGCCGGCACCAGCCCAGCAAGCAGGTGCTTGGGGTGGCCAAGGGGAAGGGGCGGCACGTCAGGCTGTTCGGCGGCAATTCGGCAGCGGATCCCTCTCGGAGGGAAGCACCTGCCCCAAATTCCTGCCAAAGAAGAAAGCAGCATGGTGGAGCTGCTGCCGGAGTGCCGCCAATCGCAATTGCGATCACGGCTTTTTTTTTTTCCCGCCGCTTGGGGCGGCAAAAACCCTGGAGCCAGTCCTGCCCCCCTCTCATTGGCCCTGATTATGCTGCTGCTGCAAGAGGTGGCACAGAATGCAGCTTTCATAGAAACATTGACTCTGCATTGCTGGCTGCAGGGAAAACATCGGGTTTGCCAATAAACTCTGTACCCGTGACTTTGACAACATATAGGGAGCAGATACGTGCAGTGTCAAGCAACAATTTAAACTGAATCACTTTTCTAAGAATACAGCAGAACCTCACCAAGTCTTTTCTGTTGTGTGCATTTGCTAAGTTCATTGCAATTCATTGATTTGCAATGGGTTTCCCAGTCACTGCAGTTTTTAAACTCTCTCATTATAGAACAGAAGTGAATTAACCCTGTCACTTCAAGATGGAAGCAGAGGCACCACCTTCCCTTGCAGCCTCAGGAGCAGCTCTGATGTGAACCAGGAGCATTCTGAGCAGCGTTTATCTCTTTACTGCCACAACTGCCAAACACCTGGCCACCTGCTGCATTGCAGGGGAGAGAGGAGAGAGTAGCTCTTGTTCCTCCATTGCCTGCTTCCCTGCCAGGCCATTGGAGGCTCAGTGGGAGCTGGATAGAGGATCAACTGGCGGTGGCTGAGCCTAGGGAAATGTCTAGCAAAGGATGTTCCAGGAGCTGTGGGGAGGGAGTTAAAAGAGTTGGCAGTGTCACTTCTATGCCAGCAGGAACTCCCAGTAGCAGACTGATAGGGTGCATTTGCTCCTTTTTCACTGCAGAAGAAGCAAAGTGGAGCAAAGATGTACCCCAAAGTGTGGATTGTGGTCTCTGGACCTCTGAATCAATATGTGCAGCTCTCGGGCTGTAAAGGTTGGGTATCACTGGCTTAAAGTAATTACTGTTCATTGGATATTAGGAACTGGCCACTAGATGTCACCATTATACAGCTATATTGAATTATTTTGTCTTTTAGAGGTGGCAGTTCAGAAACCTAAGTGGAGCAAGTTGAGCTGCTCAGAAACAGCCTGATAGACAAGTAAACCCTTTTATTCTGCTCAGTTGAAATTGTTCTTTCTCAGCCTATCAAATTCCAGCTACTAAAATAGTAGGTGTCAAGTATAGTATATTTGTGCTATGGAATTATATATGAACCTTTAATGGAGTGAGGACTAGAAAACTTTACTTTTTTTTTTTCTTTTTCCAAAATTATAATTTTCTGTATCACTTTTAGTACATCAGCAAAGTCCCCCCCCCCACCCTCCAAACGTATTTTATTTGCTTTACATGTAATGCATCAAATTTCAAAAAGATAAAATCTGAGACCTGGTAACGTGCAGTGCTTAAAGTTTTCTGTGAGGTGCCCAGTGACCTCAACATTAAAGTCAATAGTAACTGAAGGTGCTCCGTATGTCAGAGGGTTGGACTCAAAGAGCACAAATTTCCCTTTAATTTCTTTTGCTTGCTTTCTTTAGTGAATGTTGTATGCTTGCTCATTCCCCACTAATAATCTGCCACTGATCATCTGACCCACTGATATATATATTATATACTTTGAATGAAAAATAGAACAGTTCTATAGGTAGTGGTCTAGGATGAAGAGAAGATTGCATAAAAGTGCAAAATAGTACTGGTGAGCTGAATAATTAAACCACAGACCACTGATAATACATTCAGTTTCTTGTATATAGTCTAATTAGAATAATGCATTAGATCAAACATCAATTTTAAAAATGCCATAGTATGTTTATGGTTAGAAAATTGACTAAAATGACATAATCTTATTCAGACGACCTGCTCTTGTGTATATTCTGATTTGTGTCTGCTTAATTTACTGACAAAAAGTAAGTTTTTACTATTACTCCTGTAAGCACTGCAGAACCAATACAGCTCTGGGAGAGTGAGCTGGATTATTTGCCCAGTTGTACATCAACAGAAATTGACATTTCCATTTGCGGAATATTTGTTACTACTTGAGACAGAAATATAAACTGGTCTTTCAGAGCCCAGTTGAGCTTGCAGGGGTGGCGGTCAGAAAAAAATGTTTTACTTTGTACGTTGCTGACATTTTATGTAGAAGCTACTAAGACACAAACATGAGATCCCACAATACCATTTTGTCACATTTCAGCATGTTTTAAAGAAGACATAATGGCTGCTGATGAATAACTTAATTTAGGAAATTGGAGCGTTGTAATTCATTACAAGTGCTGGAAAATATAAATTCTGCAATATAGCATTTTTACATAAATCTTGGTGTTGTTCATCCATGAATAATATAATATATGATTAAAATAGAAGCTTACTTTTTCCTTTTCTTTGTTTTCTAGAAACGAAAGCTCCAACTAAGCCCAGAGCAATGCAGCAACTTTTATGCAGATCAATATGGCAAAATGTTTTTTCCTAATTTAACAGCATATATGAGTTCTGGGCCTTTAGTTGCTATGGTTCTTGCCAGACATAATGCTATCGCTTACTGGAAAGAGTTGATTGGACCATCAAATAGCATAAGAGCTAAGGAAACACACCCTGACAGGTAACTTACTGAAGAATAGACTTAGGGTCAAATCCTGGCCTCATTGAAGTCAAGGGGAGCTTTGCCATTCACTTCACTAGGGTGAGGATTTCACCCTTACGGTACAAAATTAATAAAGGTTTGGGCCAACCTTTTTCATTTTGAAATTATGGCACAAAAAAGAAGCAAAAGATTTTGTTAACTGGACCTCACTTATTGTATTTATTGCAATCTGAATGAGAATGTAAATACTGGAAGGGATTTGAGATAGCCATCCAAACACTTCTCTCTGTTGCTTTTAGTTTAAGAGCAATCTATGGGACAGATGATCTGAGGAATGCAGTTCATGGCAGTATCCGATTTTCCTCAGCAGAAAGAGAAATTCGATTCATGTTTCCTGAAGGTACAGAGTTATCATTTATTTGTCTATAAACTGCAAGTCGTCTTTAGGCGTGTATGGCTCCTGCCCTATTCCTACCTGTCTGTAGCCAAACATTCAATAAAGAACCTAGACTCATAAAGGGGGTTTGAAAAATGTTTTAGAACAGTTTGGTCCCGTTTTCATTGACTAACTAAACCAAGGGTCAGCAACGTTTGGCAGGGTAAGCACCCTAGCGGGCCGGGACAGGCCAGTTTATTTACCTGCTGACGCGGCAGGTTCGGCCGATCGCGGCCCCCACTGGCCCCCGTTCGCCGTCCCGGGCCAATGGGGGTGGCGGGAAGCCGCGGCCAGCACATCCCTCACCCGCGCCACTTCCCGCCGCCCCCATTGGCCTGGGACGGTGAACCGCGGTGAGTGGGGGCCGCGATTGGCTGAACCTGCCGCGTCAGCAGGTAAATAAACTGGCCCGGCCCGCTAGGGTGCTTACCCTGGCGAGCCGCGTGCCAAACGTTGCCGACCCCTGAACTAAACTATGACTGAGGAGCTATGCCACGTGGAGCAGAAAATAGCAAAATCTATTTGATGAGCCACCCAAATCACAGTGGTTGGGAATTAATTTCCCTTCTGCCTCACAGATACTGCAAATGCCCCTCTATGGCATTGGAATTGGGGCAGGCAAATTCAGGGAATGGGAGGAACCATGGAGCTACTTCATTTCAGCATGTTTCACTGGGAGCAGAGTGGCTTTCCAAGTGAAAATCTGCCCCAGAGTTACTGTTGATCTGATATGGTTGAATTCCCTCTTCTGAGACTGGGGTATGGGGATTCATGCTCATCTACTCGTGGAGGGTCACATGGCAGTACAATTCAGGAGCCAAGTTCCAACTGGCGTGGACAAAGGCACCTGTGAGCTTTGAGGGACAGAGCCCTTTGCTTGTTCCATAGGTTGAGGGGAAAGATGACACAATCCTCAAAGGAGTGATTCTAAGGAAAATCTATGATTAGATATTCATGGAGTTTAATATCCACTACACCAGAAGACCAAATAGGAGTAGCATGTGGTCCTGAGTTTAAAACCATTTTAGCTGAAACAATGTTTAAACAGAATTCAAACCACTTGAAATCCTGTCTCAAAGCCTGTTGCAGGTCTTTCTTTAGTATGAATGTTAGTCTCTCTTTTCCCCTGGAGATCATGCATTTTCCTTCTTCAGAATCCCATGTAAACCATTCTACCTCCTGTCCCTTGCCCCACAATAAAAATGCAATATCTGATGTAGGTCCTTCAGGGTGACAAGAACCAGTTCCACAGCAGTTATGGGGCACTGAAGAAGTAGCCCCCAATGGATTCTCCTTTGCCCAATAAATATCCAGTGAAGTGGGTGGGTCCTCAATTAGTCTTATTTCTTCCTCTCCCCCAATCAACTAAAGGGTGCTTTTTTTTCCCCCCGGGACCAACCACCGCCAGCGTACCATCACCCAAGATACAATATCCAGGAGCTCCATCCCTCTTAGAATTGCTTTGGGGGCAACACACTGCAGTAGTTCTGTGTCATGGTGTATGTCTTGCAGAGAAGCCATACAAAGGGTTAAGTATTATCAATTACAAGGAAAATATAACCACGGTTATAAACATTTGAAAGAAAGTAATTTTTTAACATTATAAGCAACTTGCTTTGCAATAATTCAACTCACATGGCTATGCTTTCCAGTGATTATTGAGCCAATTCCAGTTGGACAAGCTGCTAAGGATTACCTGAACCTCTATGTCAATCCTACACTACTGGCTGGGCTCACCGAGCTTTGTAAGCAGAAACCAGCAGATCAATTGGTATGTATTCTGTCATACAAAATTCTTACCTTGTGTTAGGTTTGCTTTATGGTGAGGTTCATGGTTCCTTATAATATTTCGAGGAAAGCTGCTTTGCCTCTTTTTTTGGTAGAAATCAAGGGCCAGCTAAGGTATACGGATGTCAAATATCTGCCTCTCCACCTAGTTTAGCTGGGAGAAACCAGCTGGTACCAATGGGCATGAGTGAGATTAAATGCTTTGTGACAGTTTGCTAATACAGAGAATATTCAGTGAAGCTTTGGCAGCTTTTTAGAAATAAATAAATAAATATATGCAAGCTCCCTCAAAAGAGATTTCTGTATTTTAACTTCTGCTATAGGTGCTACAATTAGTAATATCCAATTCACTGCTTATCTTAGGTAGGGACTCTCTTGGTCATGTGATCACGTTCACCCTCGTTAACATAAACTTTGACCCCTGAGGAGTTCTCCAATGAAACCATCTACAGTTGTCCAACAGTTTTCTTATGACCCCTTTTCAGTCATCTATACTGCTGCAATGAATTCAGTATAAAAGCCCCAAGTCACTGACTAAACCTCTTGACCTTCTGTCATCATTAGTCCCCTTAAATAAGCATCTTATCCAAAGCCCATTGAAGTGAATAGAAAGACTCCCATGTGACTGCATGAATTTTGGTCCAGGACATAAAATCTTTAATTTTCGTCCAAGTTGAAAAATTTAGGAGTCTTCCTTGCCCCTTAACTATGCTAACTTTTTACTCCTACATCATCTTGTTTGTACATCTGCCATCACTGTTCTCTTTGCCTTGACTCTCCCTCTGCTGAAATACTTATTCTTGTTGTTTTAATCACGTCTCTAAAATACAGTAACCTATAACCTCTGCCTCCCAACTGCACCGCTTTCTGTCACTGTGTATGAATTCAACTGTTTTGTGTTTAGTGTTCAGATCTGCTCAGTGCCTTAGTCCCTTTGCTTCTTCAGTTTCGATTTTCCCTGTAACCTGCTAGGATTATTTTATTTAGTCTACCTGTCTGTAACCCTTGACAAAGCATTGTGTTCATATCTGATACTAATCCCTGCTTCCATTTCCCTTCTACTACTCTATCAATTCTCCTCTCCCTTCACAGTACTGTAAGCAGTTTACTAGTACTTAGCACTTGACATCCACTAATTAGTGTTCAACAGCCCTATGAAGTATGCAAGTATGTGTGATAAACTCCATTTTACAAATGGAGAAATCAAGGCAGAGAGGTTAAGTAGTTTGCCTAAGGCCAGAGTGAGTCATTAGCAAATGGAATTAGAACTCAGGCATTCCTGCCTCTCACATTTGTGCTTAGATACCATTACAGTTTGCTAGAAAATTTACATGATGTGCTGCGTTTTCAAAAAGTACCAGAACATCACATTTGTTGACTTCTCTAGGGCTCCATTTCCTGCCTGTAAGGGTTACTGTAAGATACTCAAACATGATTGCAGTGTAGAAAGTTGTGACACTGACTTTGTATGAAGGGCTCAACGTGTTGAAGTAGCTGGCAGGGTTGATAGAACTGACATAATTAATAATACTTTTCTGTAAGCATTTGAGTGCATATTCTATTCAAAATAGAATCCTCATACTTATTGTTTGTACTGAGGTAGGGCTAAAATGCCCCTGTACAAACACTTACATAGAGAGATTCCCTGACATGAAAAGTCTAAAATGCATTTTAAGCAGCTCAAGACTGAAGAGCAATATGTAGTATGAACAGATTAAAAAGGCAAACTTGGTAACTAGAGTTTATGACTTACTATAAACTGGGATGTACAGTTCTGCATACTTTAATAGTGTCTCAAACAAAGGGTGTGTTTAGTAGTGTCTGTATCAAAATAGTGCCCTTAATAAAAAGGGTCTGTTTTTATGGGAGTGAAATGGTTTTTAATGTTTTCTTTATATAGTTATAGAAGTGACATTGAAGATCTTTTCATCCTGTAGATTTGGTTTGCTGATTGGTTGATAGAACATAATCCCAATAAACCTAGGCTACAGCAGAGGATAACTGTGGAAGAACCTTAAGGATGAAAGTCCAATGGAGATTTTGTCAAACACTATCAAATAAGATGCTTATTAGTATAATTTTAAGTGTATCCTTTGAATTTGTAATGAATATTACATGAAATAAATGTTAGTGTTATAACCAACTATAAATTGACTAGTAATCATTGGATAAGTTGAACTAGTAATTATTTGTTTTAGGATCTATTCCCGTTAAATTAATAAATATAGAATCACATGCTGCAACTTATTGTGCTGGGTGATAAATGACATCATACTTTTAGTGACATTTTCCCTCTCTGCCTTGGTTTAACCTACCCATAGAGAACCAAGTTCTTATTTACACCATCGTACATCCAAAGTAATTCAATTGTTTCCAATGAGTGACTCAAGTGGCTGTTTCCAAAAGACACTTTTGACCTGTACTTTGTGAAATCAGGCCTTGCTTACAGCATCTGCTTATACCTCAACATAATGTTAAGTGACTAGATACACTCCAAGAACCATGTGTGCATGCCTGCAATTTTAGCACAGTGGTTCAATCAGCAATGACAAGTGGCAAAATTACTTTGAAATAATATGATTCATTTGTGTCTGAGTTTCTAGCCAAGATACTCTTTGGAGGAAAGAAGTTCAAGGCAGATTTCAGTAACTGGCAGCTAATGGCAGAGCAGTTACGAATCAAAATCCCAAGATTTCTAATTAAAAGCCACAGGTAGGTGTATTTCTGATAGAGATCCATAGTTTACTCCATCTCCAATTTTTGTTTCAGCATGTTCTAGTAGGAAGAAGTGTTAAAATTTAATCTTACCCTTAGTGAGAAAGTTCTTGAATTGCTTTACCTTAGTTATGTTAAAGGTATACCTTGAGTACTGATTTTTCCATATTCTCTCTATTTTTACAGGAAAATTTTAATTTATTCTACAGATAGGGAGTTTTACCAAGAATGGGATATGAACCCATTGAAAATGTGGCAGGCTGATTCGCCGCTTCTACTGCCTTTTCTCAAGGAAGGAAGCTGGTTTAGAAAATATTGTAGGAGCGCCTTTTCCTTTAGGCTTTCTAGACAAGCACTCAGTCCGTTAATCGTTTGCCTGGCTAGCATGCATTGAACATAACAGTTCTGACACTTCTTTGCAATTCCGCTATGCTTGATCCATACCAGCCAGATGAGCAATGTTACATACTGCTTTAGTGCTCCCATGGCAGGAGGCGGCTTTTATTGAATAAGAAACAAGTTGTCCACATTCACAGAATATTGCATCAAGATAAGATGCCCTCCTGTTAGGTATTTTGTTCTATCTACTGGAGTAGCAAGATTAATTTTCAAATATCTGAACTTTGATATGTTGTGGACATACTAGAACAGTGTGACTATTTGACACAAGCCAGTTGTTGTTCTCCCCTCCTTTCACTGGAGAATATTACAGTAATTCCAACTAAAAGCTTTCAAAAACCACAAGTCAGGCCCCAAAAATTATGAGAGGGGCTTAAATAAATAATATTTAAAAAAATAATAAATGTTGGGTGCTTTTTACTTGTCTTTTGAGTCTTTAGGAGGTCACATTTTCAAGCTTTTCTCTACCATGGGGAGCTAGAAATTAACCTTTTTTTTTTTTTTTTTAATGAAAGCGGAGTTTCTCCCATAATCCCATGACCCTGGGATCTGGGACTTTAAGAAGAAAACCAAATATCATGAGAGTTGACAATACCAGTATAAGTTGATTTTTTTTTTCTGGTTTCTTAGTGTAGCCACAAAACTGACAAATCAGTAATTCACACAGCTCTATATAGGAGTCCTACTCTTTAAGGTTTGAAGCAGCTGATGGTGCTAATTTAAAGGCTAAAATAGAGCCTTTGTTTGGGAAAATCCAGATGTATGGTAACCCTACAAAGAAGTAGTTACCATTTCTTCTCGTGGATGGCTCACTGTCACATTGTATGCTGTCCCTTTAAGGGGAGGGCTGGGTCCAGCACATGCAAGTTCCAAGTACCAGCCTCTTAAAGACTGATTTTCTGGAAATTGTAGTCCTTGGAAGGTCATGTGACTGTAGACTGGAAGTGAGGCCTGCTTGGAGAAAATGTCAGGCTATATAAAAGAGCTGCCTCTGGCTTAGAATAGTGAGAAACTCAGAAAGAGTAGGGAGAACCTGGAAAACACTAAGGTGGCCCAAGGGCGAAGATTGGGAGAAGGCCTAGAAGACTTAAAAGGAAGGTGTCCTAGCATGTGGCCCTGGGAAACAGTGCAGTTTGAAGTTTGAGGACAGACATCTGACCACGGTTTTCAGGTTTCAAGGCTGGATCCTGGAGTAATGGAAGGGCCCAAGCTCTCCACAGTGCCACCTAATGATGCAAAAATCTCTACAACCAAGGGGGCAGGATGTGGACAAGAAGTTGGAAACTTAGGAGGTAAGATATTGTTACACCTTGGAGAGTTGAGAAGATGGACAGACCTTCAAAGGAGGGCTGTGATCCAGCAAGAGACAGGTTTGAAGGACTGTGCTGTTTCATTTGGATTTTGACTTAGATATTTATTTGCGCCAGATTCTGATTGGTTTGGTGGGCGGGGTAAGCACCAAATCACCAACTCACTGAAGCCCAGCTACCCAAAGGTGAGAAGAAGCTAAGGCATGACTATGACCTGACATTGGAGAGGTGAACCAATCCTGGCACATACCCCATGTAGGGTCTGGTGGTACTTATATCTTTCTTTACCATCTCAAAATCGTTACACTACCTGTTTAGATTTATTTCTCTACCCACATGCAGGAATACAGCTCATGAAGCCTATATCTATAAAATAAGGAGTTTAACCTCTTATATTTAGACCATTTTTCAACAAAAATTAAACTGTATCATCCTCCTGCAAGAAATCCAATCTGTTTCCTACCACATGCCATAAAGACTATTCTTGGAACTGCAGATCCAGCAAGATTGGAGTGCATGGCTGCTCATCAGTCCACCTTGGCTGATAAGTGATTTCTTATCTTTAAGAATAGCCTATGTAAACTGCAGTGAGCCTTGAACATACCCTCTAAGATGGCAGCAACTTCAAGCAAAGCCCCTTCCCCTCTTGCTTTTATATCAACCAGTTTAGGAGGCAGAGATCACAGCCTTCTGAGTGAACGAAGTTCCACAGATGGAGTCATTACTCAAAAGCTTGTGACTTTACTTGAGCATCTGTGAGGAAAGGAGAGACTTAGATGGGTATTTGCTAACCCATATTTCTCACCTAAGACTAGAGGAGAAATTTAATTCTTGGGACCATTTAGTAGCACCTTCTTCCCCCCCAATAAAGTAGGTACTAATCTTGCACACCCTCTAGGGACTAGAGGCCTAAGCAAGTCATCACATTGTTAATGAACTGATTAAACCGACTGATATGACAGGAGCAGAGTAAGCAAACCAAATTACTTTTCAGTCTTACATTTGAACAGCTGATCCTATCTAGAGGCAGACACAGGAGGTTTTATTGAACTTGCTTAACCAGAGCAGTCAGGTTAAGATAAGTCATCTCACTCTGGAGGATAAACTGCAGTTTTCCATGGCCATTCCCAGCAATCTAGTGTCCTCTGGAAATTCCAAGCCCTTGAATCTCCACTTCCTCTGAGCTTTCTATTGTAAAACACGAGCAGAAAACATGTTGGGTGTTTTCTTTTTTTGGGGGGGCGGGGGAAACCCCAAACTCTTGGCACATCCTAAAGCAGAAGCAAAATGCAAAACACATTTTTGTTTTTCCTTTGTAGTTCACTTTTAGGTGACATGTCCAAGGTTACACAGTAAGTGGCAACGCTGGCAACAGAAGCTCCATCTCATCTACTAACTTATTAAAGTGAAGGCTTGAATGACAAGGACAATAAGAGCAGGGGGAAATTAACCACAAAGGTTTTTCCTTTTTATGCCATTTTCCATTACTTGCTATGTTGTGTTTTAATAAAATGCACTTGGCTCTCAAACCAAGGTAGCAATGTGATATGTAAGGACTGGAGCAAAGCAGGAAATAGGTAGTTGATTAGATTTAAAGGTTAGTGCACTTCTCTGTTTCAGCAAGGCCCACCATTGCCTCGGGTAGCCCAGAAAGCTCTCAATTCTGGAGATCCATTCACTGCGGGCTTGGTGTGTCAGCAACATGATTGATACGTAGTCTCCTAGAGAGGATGCCTGCCAAATTCTTGTGTTATTACCTCCTGCTCTCAGCTCAGGGGAGAGCCTTTTGTTGGTCTTCCCAATCAGAGGTGAGGCATTGTTACAGACAAATGGGCAAATGACATTCTAATGATAACTCTGAAGGACCAAGAATTCTCTTCAGTTTTACTTCACAGGCGTGTTTCACAGCTGAAGCGAGGTGATGCTATTGTATGAAATAGTTTGCATGACCTGTTAGAAAGATATGTTTACATAGTCTTGTCCTGTGTTCTATTTCCCTCCTCAAATTATCTTAAAATGTGTGGCAGAACCATAGCTAGCAATGGAGAAAACTAGTTTGCTCATTCTTAGTTTAGTGTGTGACGCTACTCTGAAACCTGACAGTAAAAATGGGGAAGACTTTTATTGTCTCTCTCTGACTCCATATCAGATTTGCTTGATGTTAAGGTTTTGGGTTTTTTTCTGTTCATCTTCTTTTCAAAAATCAACCTGACATTTGAAACTTGAGCTGGGTTTTTGTTTGTTTGTTTGTTTTTTGTTTTTTTAATTCCTCACATATAATCAGAAAAAAATTCTGCAGAGGAAACTTGGGCTCAGATTGTGAACCCCCTACTCTCATGGGTGAGCAGTTGCTCACGAGGCAAACTCTTGAAGCCAGTGGAATTTGTGTGTGCCAGGGCCTAATTTAGCTTTAAATTCTTTTGGCTTTGGAAAAGGATTTTCCAAATTACCCATCCTTCTTTGTAATCTCATTTATAGTCAATTCCTAAACTCTCATTTCCTTTGTAAGGAGACAGTTATGTTCTGTGGCATTTCCAGAAGCTGTACTGATTGTCAGGTTGGGAAATTCTGCACTTCCAAAAGCATCTTGTTATTGCTATGCTGGCCAGCGTTTCTTATCTCCTTTAGGAGTTGTAAAAGCCTTTTCTTACTGGG